ATCATTGGCTATAACATTAAGCAGTTTACAGCTCCGTGTCACACAAGTCTTCCTAGAGTCCAGTGGACTTTATATTACGGCCTGATCCCCTCAAAATTTTGCCTATTTTTACCTCACTGAAAGCTCCCTAAAACTGCATGAGAAGAAAGACAAAACCCAACAATCTGCTGCTTCAAGGTGTTTGCCTTTCTCGGACTCCCGCTCCCCTCAACACCTTCTCTTTAGTTCCTCAGAGTGTAGAATTTCGAAGCAACATGCTCTGTGGAAAACTGCCACTCCAGAATACATCCCAGTATGTAGATGTGGAGCTTCTCATTGTGCAGAACCGTGCTGAGAAGTCCCTCGCTAGGAGAGAGCTTGCACCAGGGCTGCTACCTCATAACAGGATTATGCTAAAACTCAAGACAAATCCGTGGAGACTTTGTCTGAATATACAAGACTTGTTCCAAAGATTCTTACAACTTGAATTTAACACCAGGGAAAAATAATWAWWAAAAAAAAAATACATGGAAAGTGAGATTCAGGGAAACCAAGGCAGCACATTTTCACTGTGCACCTGCCAGTAGCTCATTTCTCTCCGCTATCATAAGGCAACAAACTGGAGCTTTTAGATACTGTTCTGTTCTTTATTGAAATGAGCAATTCTGTTACCGCGAACTGCAGACAGAGAAAGTTATCCAAGTCATCCTAAGTCACTGTATGGAGCTGCCGGAAGCTCTTAAAACAAAACCCAAMTGATTCCTAAATAATTTGGAGTTTCTTGAAGTTAGGCAACCATATTGTTCCCCTTCCTCTCCCCCGCAAAAACAAMCCAACACACACCTGAAGTATAATTCTGCCACCTCTAATACCATCATTACAAATACCATCATTACAATACCTCCRGTATTAATTGCTGCCATTAAAGCTTCAGCTCCTGAAGCTTTCTACCTAAGTGACTATTCCAGCATTGTCAGATGAGGGAAACTCCAGTCTTGGCAAAAAATCTAGCATTAGAGCTTTAACGCAATGTGAAGGTTTCAGAAACTTTATTACTTTTTAAGCAGAAGAAAAGCACCAAGTTTTGTTTATATGCAATACATACTTCAAGTGAACAGTGTATTACCTTATTTAATTTCTTTAAAAGTCACCTGCTCTTTTCTATGCTAGCACATTCACCAAGCGCGTTGTCTTGACTGAAAGCTCTTCTGAGCAAAGTCCAACCAGTCTCCAACAAAACTCAAAATACTGATATTTTAACACAAAAATACTAAGAAAAATACCAAGAAAACTTACTTGCCTAAAAATGATGTCATCAATTACACAATATAGCTCTGAGAAAAGGCAGTACAAACTCTCTTGACTGCTAAACACAAGCAGTACATTTGGGCTGAAATAGTATTTTCACAGCTCTCTCCATAATAAAGCATAGAAAAAAGACCTTTAAATGCTTGCGTGGATTTAAACATGATTTGCTTAGAGCTAATACATTTTTTGCTTGCTAAATGTACATTATTCAATTGTGTACCAGAAGTTGACCACATAAAATAGGTCAGTTATTCTTACCTTTCAGTGGAACAATGGATRCGAAACCATTTTTTCCAGAGAAAGATCCTGTTTTGAACAAATCCTGTATAAGTATCTRAAAAAATACTTACCAGACACAAGTATTTCTTTCCAAGAAGTATCATCCAGTAATCAGAAATTTAATACCACGTAAGTATTGACAGTTTTAACTGTCTGTGCCTCTTTGTATAACATCTGTTCAATAGTTTCTTAATTATAATATATATATAGTGAACTGAAGACATGTTTTTTCTGCATACTAGTATGTAAAGTTCTACCTGTATGTTATTATCAAGACTTCTGTAGTGACCAGATCATGTTTTAAACAATCTACCTTTTTCTTAAAAAAAAAAAAAAAAAAAAAAAAAAAAAATCAAGATGCATCAATCCAGTGCCTGGCTATAAACAAAGACCACACTAGCACAGAAAAGAAAACCTTCAGGTGTGACATTTCTTCTGGTAAGATTTCATGATTGGGAAGTCCACACTTAACTGGACGACCTCTGTTTGAGCTATGCTGAGAAAATGGAGCTGTAAGATACCCAGCTGCTGTCTGCAAATGCTGTTGTGCAATACTGCATAGCAAAAAAGTTCAGAGGAGACGGTGTCATGTTGCAACTGCCCAGTTTCATTTTGCAAAGCAATTTTTTTTCAGCGACTCCATTTAAGATGGGTCAGAAGCTAATTATCTAGAGACAAAAAACAGTATTTCAGACAGGGAAATCAAAGCCCACTGCAACACAGCCAAGTTTTTAGCCTCTCTCAAACGTTATTAACCTACCTGTTCTCCGGTCATAGCTGGTACCACCTGAGGAAACAGGTTAAGCACCTCAGGTCACAGCCCACCTGGCTACTCCTGGCAGCTCTTGGAGAAATCCAGGTGTCTGCAGCCAGGCTGCCTCCCTCCAGGAAAGCTCCGAGTAGCACAGGCTTTCTCAATCCTTGSTTCCTGCCAAGTTTCCCTGCTCAGGTAAGGGAGCTACTTCATGCTCCTCCCAGTCACTTCCCAAGCATTTATCTTTCCGCCTCTTCCCATAGGGCCTAAATCTTGTTGCAGGTGCAGAAAGGCAAGTTGATTGTACAAGCTGCCTCCTCCCACCTTCGTTACAGGGCATACAAGTTTTCTGTGCTACTACATAGTCTATCAAAGAGGAAAAAACATYCTAACAACCCAGCAGCAGATTTACCACTGTCTATCACATTGACCAACAGGAAGCATTAATTACTCCTAAAACAGAGGTGAGAAAACACATTCACAGGAAAGAATGGTGTTTTTCTGTCTCTTAAATTCTGAGTTATCACAGATTCAAACAGAAGCAACTTACTGGTAATGAGATAGTCAGAAAAAAAAAGTTTCTATTTTGGTAGGGAAAAAAAGACTACCAAAGAGGTGGTAGTTTACATAGTATTTTACTAACTAGAGCATCCCTCAGTCATATTACATAAAAAAGCCTTACATAAAATTTTCCACAATAAAAGCAGCTACATAATGGAAAGCCACTTGGATTGCAGAAGTTAGAATTTCTGAGAACAGTTAGGAGAAACCAAACCCTTCCTGAGCTGCTTTTTAGGAATTTTCCGTTAGTATTTTCCAGGATATGTAACCACCTGGATACTCATCCATTAAGTCAAATCACAGCAAGTAAGGACAGTAGTTCAAAGAAATATCAGTATACAGTGCTCAAAGAAGATGAAAAGATGCCAGGGAAAACTTTTCAGTCTTAAATGATGAAAAAAGACACAACTACAAGAAGTAGGACAGATTTTTTTTTTAATATTTTAACTTAGAATAAAAAAAAAGGCAGAACAAGTCTTACTATACATTCACATTTCTTCTCTCAAAATTTTATTTTTTTCTGTCAGGAGATCCAGAGCCCACTTGCTATCAGGTGAGAATATGATTTCCTTTTTAGACCTCTCCACCAATTTAAGAGCATGAGAAGGGATACCTCTTTCATTTTAAGAGCCTGTATCTCACAGTAGAAAAACAAGTTAATTCCGATGACTCCCTGGGAAACGTTTTGAAGTGTAAAAGAGACTGGTGAACCCATTGATAGGGCATAACTAAATAGAAGAATTTTGGCCCTCAACAAGGAGATTTTGAGGTGGAAGAATTATCAATTGTTTATTTCAAAACAATTATTTTAATCCTAGTCTTTTTATTATGATTAAAATTCACTTTTAATGATTGGGTTCTGGTCAGTTTTTTTGGTAYCCTTATCAGTCATATATTTAAGCATTATAGAAGTCAAAACACTATGACCGTTCTTGATGTATTAACCTGAAACAGTGCCAACCATGTTGAAGGTGATGCTTCTTGCAAGTTTCTAGGTTCTGCTCAAAATTTCCATCTTGTACACAGAAATGTCAGTAATGCTGACACTGGCTGGCCACACGTACCTAACAACTCCGTATTTCGTCACTGCCACATCTCATCAGCCAAGCATACAGGAGAATCTCTTCTCCAAGGAAGCAACTGCTAAATACCTCTATGTCATTTATGCATTTTTTATTTTGAGATGGTAACAAGAGGAATCTTAATCACTGAAATGTACTTAAATAATCTGCTCTCCAGTCAATACAATTCCATGTTCTTAGAGTTTCAGCTATACTACGCAAGGTAAGAGCGTTGGTTGGATTTAAGTTTTTCATCTGCTTGAAGACTTTGAAGTTGTACATCATCTTTAAGTGTGAATAGCTTCTATTTTAAAAATGCATTTCACTATCATCCATCTGTAGATTCTAGTGAAGACTGCTTGCATTGCCATGACCTATAAGCCTTTTTTCCTGAAAGAGAGAGGAAGTATTCTATAATAAAATCTGCAAAAATAGATTCTTAAGTTATCACTGTCATGTAACAWCTCCCTTTGCCAAACTTCTTGCATAATTTCTCTTAATTTTATGACTAGACACCTTCCCTTTCTAGTGCTTTCCTAAGGGGAAAAAGAAATCATACAACAGATTAAACTCTAAGTCTGTTATACAATAAAATGCTTCTTAGGAAGACTAGTTCTAAAAAAGTGCTTTGGACATTGCAGTAGTTGATTCAGAAGTTTACAAAAAGCARGKTTTTTTTTTCTTTTTGTTTCCTATGACGCTCCTGCCACCTCTATTCCCTCACCTCCCTCTCCTATTTTTTTGGTGGTTGTTTTTTAAGCTAGGGGAGGGAAAAAAGAGGGAATGCTTACACAGATGCTTTAGGTTAACAAGTAAGTTTGTTCTGGAGAAAATACACCATTTAGGATGCCTGAATAAGTCCAGGCATTTGAAGCAATTTCATAATACCAAGTTCTTTACAGCTTGTAAAGATAGGAAACAGCAGTTTCTATCTTATGAGCACTGGCAAGCTGTATTTGTACACCACTAAGTACAATATATACAGTGATAAAAAATTCTCTTTATTAGTTGCCATCAAAGTGCAGTACTGAGTGGTGTAAAGAGGTTTCTGCGGTCTTACCAATCACTGGGATGAACTAGATGACTGAGGAGCTGTACCCCCCATGACAATGCTATTTTTGTCTGTAAGGGTCTTGAGCACAGTCGTGGCTGGGGACTGAAGAACTTTGCGTGAAAGCCGCATTCTGCCATCAGTGGGGTCACGTCCAAAGTATTTCACCTGTTATGAAAACATACAACTTCTAGATCAGCACAGTTATGCTAAACTACTGTTTAAGAATTTTTAATTTAAAGAGCAAGAAATACCATAGACAATAGGTACTTTTTAGCCAATATCGCACAATCAAATCAATTTGGTGCATGGATGGTAAGAGACATTAAATAAATTTCTGATCATTTGAAACAAACTAGCATTTAACCAACACAGATAATCTGACATGGCAAAATATTTCCTTCATAAATACAAAAATGAAAAACAAATTTACACGCGAATACTAAAGTATGAGCGGCAGTTTACTGACAATTTAAGGTGAAAAGAAATAAATACCTGAATTTCTTGGCCAACTTCTAATCCCAAGGCACTAGGATGTTTAATCTAGAACACAGTATTTTTCAGGAAGTTTTAATTAGTGTAAATGAATATACATAAGCATATAATATAGGTTAGTGTATAACAATCTTCCAACTAGACCACTAATCTGTTAAAAATATACCCACAGATTGTTGGATTTTGCATTACATCATGGTGAGCAGCAAATACAAACCCCAGTTCTTACTTTCAGGTCATTCTATGTTTTCCTACCAAGGCACCCATGTATTTTCCCAGCACCCATTCAATCCTCTCTTCAGTGCTTGCCTCTATCACTAATCCGAATTTTACAAATCATAGAATTTCTCCTAGCAGCATGTGCCATCAGGTATTACAAGCAGAACAAACCCAAATCCCATGTAGTTTTCTTTACACTACATTTCAGACAATTATAGATGGACTAAAGCAGCTGAACACAGATTAATGAGCTGGTTTATGCATGTTACATATCAGAAGATATTACAGACCTAAAAAAACCCAGTGATGTGCATAAAGCATTGATAGGAGGCCTGCAGCTTGCATACAGACAGGGCTACATGCAGCTCAAAGCACATTTAGGTAAGCAAAGGTTAAACAAGAGGAGAGGTGCTGCTAATGCAACAAAGCTTTTATCATGGCAACAGACTCTAGAGCTCCTGTATAGAGTAGACTATGTTTAATGAAAACTGATTCAAAATAAGTAAAAAAAAAATTTGCTAACGAATTTCTAGTCTACAGTTGTTAAGTATTACCTTTCTTTGATCAAGCTGTGAATTATGAAGTAACACAGGCGTCATGTTTGGATACAATTTTACCATCACTCCAGAATCCCTGCAACAGAAAACTGCATGGTTAGTTCAAAATACAATGTAACTTACTCAGAAAGCTGACTCCAAAGCAAGCATAAAGGTGCTCAAAGATTTGGTAAAAGGTGATCTAAGATTTTTCCCCATTACTTATAAAATCCTCTAAACAGCCATAAGATATCTACATATTTATCTTCAAAATAAATGGAAACTGCTTATTTCAGGACACTACATTTCAACTAAGCATTATGTCCTGAAGTGCATGTAATGTCAATCAAATACATGCCCTACCAATGAAAGCCAAACTCCCATCATTGCTCTAAAACAGACAGACAAAAAAGCCTTAAATTTAAGGGACATTCCAATGCAGCAAAATTAAACAGCTGAAAGACAGATCGTGATATTTTCAATACATAAAATACCAGGCATCATGCAGGGGCCAATGTCACCAGCATGACATCCTACATAAATCAATTATTTTACAATGTAACTATTTTTCAAGAATATATCTACAAAAAGAAATACTTTTAACTTTGATCTGAAGTTCAGAGCACTTTTCATACCTAATTTCAGTTATTGTGGCTGTATAGACTGCACCAAATTCCAAATTAAGTTCCTGCTGTAGGGAAAACAAAACAAAGAACAGTAAGACAAATGCACAGAATGCAAACAGAAAAAGTGAACAGCAAAAGTCCATCCTTACATCATCTTTGCAGATTTCACGGATAAATTCTCTTGCTTCATGCATAGCACCAGGTGTGGGAGCAAACACAGAATATGTCTCTTCATCTATCTGGCTTAGAGTTACACCTTAGAAAAAGAATTTATTTGATGTAAGGATTTAGATGCACACTGCTGCTGTTTCAGCAAGCAGAAAACTCACATCCAYACTTAAAACTTGCACAGGGCAAAATTATGAAGTACACACCCACTAAGTTCYCAGATTCCTAGTCATTTCAAATATTGTTCTTTGGATTCAGCACTGGACAGCTTTATAGATAACTGTACAGAAATTATGTTACAGCTATGCTTGCCAAATAGCTGTACAAGCTTGTGCTCCATATGGAAACTTTTGCATTTACACAACCGTTTGCTATGATCTGTTAATGACATGAAAAGTTCTTGAACAATTTAGGTTTTTACAAAAGAGTTTCAGAAGCTGCACAGATCTGATCTACACTCRAACATATTAATAACGGATTAGACTTGCTTCACATCACTTCAACATTGCATGGAGGATTATCCCCAGATGCACCATTAGTTCTCTCTTCCCCAAATTCCCCAAAACCTTTGTAATATTCACCAAACGACTGGCAACTCCCACTGAAAAATGAATTACAAGTACTTCTACACAGAGAAGCTACACAGCTTAATGTCAAATGAGCTTTACTCCATCATTCRAACATAACGTACGTACACACGTGTGCATATGTATATACAGATAAAAATCAAAATATAGTAAAGATTCGGGTTGTWCTTAACAGGGAAACAGCAAGGACAAACACAAATACTGCTATTCAGTCTGCAGCATTAAGCAAGAATTTCAGAAGTATCCTATTCTTAATAATTATTCCTTTCCACTGTTTAGGAAATGTCAATTCTACAGACCATACAAAAGAGTTTGGAAAAATTAAGTTTAGATAGTTCTAGATTCTGTAAAGACATAGAGAAATCATTTTGTAGAGACGTAAAGATTCACTAATAGCTTTGCTATTAACAGCCATGATACCAAGATCTACTGTTTAAAATTATACATTAATAATTCTTACATAGTGTAGAGAAGCTATCATAACACTACCTTAAGTTATTACAGCAAGAATGCCTTACCTGTCTGTGCTTGAAGTTTTTTCAAATTATAGGCTCCAGGTCCAACAAACCGTAACCTTTTTGATAATGGAACATGGATAGTTTCTGAAAGAACATTGAAAGATACTCTGAAATGCTGAATATGATGTTTTTAAAAACTCTTAAAAATATGTTGTATTCATTTAGGTTTTAATTTCCTAAGGATATTATCTGCTAAACATGGACTAAAATTACATCGACTAAAATTTGAAATAAATGGAAAACAAAACAAAAAAGCTAATTTGAGGAGCATAAATACCCTCTAGCCATATCATTATTGATGTTTAGCTATCCTGATTTAGGAGCAATTTCACATGACTGCAGTTTAGATCTGCTTTCCAGTATGTAGTGAATAGGGTACTACAGAAAAATTCATCTCAAAAATTCTAAAGAAAATGTTACCTGAGGTAGGGTTGCGAACAGAGAAGCACACATAACCAGACCTTCATTGAAAACGCAGTTCATAGGTAAAAAGTAATTACAAATTAACAAATAATATTACCTACAACAGGGCCATTTTCCTTTCTGCCAGGTCTGGGTTTCGCCAGTGTTTCATTCATGATTTGTAAAATCTCCTTCTTAGCAGCTGTTGGGGATGGGGAGGGAGGAACAGGGAGGAAAGAAAAAAAAATAAGAATAAAATAAGGATACTTTTATGTTATGAATACTTTTATGTTTATGTTATTTTCATTATGAAGTATAAGCATCCATTCTTAATATATATATATATATATATATATATATATATATATCTCCTGTCTAACCTAAAAGTACATTAGTTTACCACAATTTATTGTGAGGTAGTATATATTTTATGCAGGTGGCATACAGACATTCAAAAAACCGTTCAGAAATTGTTTCAAAATTAGTTTGGAGCTTATTTTTAATAGCAAGTTTATTTTACTGCTTTTCTACAGCACCAAGACCAAGCTTTTCTTTCCACGTGAGCACACATTGTTTGAATCGAGCATGACTAACATTTTAGAAAGTGCTGTGGCTTAGTTATGGAGCATTTGTTCAGAACATCAACTCCAAAACACTGCATGCAGATGTCTCATCATGTTTTCCCCTCTATCCTGATGTTATTATTTTGCATGTTTTTTTCCTCCCAATTTGCTGTGCCACTGACTTGATTTCCTTCTTTGAAGGAAATCATACATTGCACTGAAYTGGTGACTCTTAGTACTACACCTTTTGTATATGTCATTTTGAATTCCCTTTTAATAATAATAATAAAACCCCTCAAGGAATGGCAGACATTTTCACTGACACTAGGTGTGATGATATGGCAGCTAAGTGTGCTGGAAATGGCCAAATCTTTCTGGAGATTGAATGCAGTCCTCTGACTAAAAAAACCTACTACATATATCTATTATTGTATGATATTTGGATGCACCAGTAATATTTGAAATTATTTTCCTTGACACTAGTTGTCTATTYAAAAGCATTCATGAAAGATTAAATAGCAGCTAAAAAGGATAGTACTCATCTTACAAGTTTTCACTAATATTTTGCCAKGTACAACCAAGTGCCATATACTTAGATATAGAGGTTACACTTAGTTCAGAACCTATAGCAGATGTTCAGTAATTATACTSAATCACTTGAATGATATTGAATCATACATGAACGCACAGTTCAGCGATATATTTTGAGCTATTTATTTCAGACACAGGTACATATATATGTAGATATAGATATAGATATAGATAAATTGTTAAAGAGATGATAAACAGCAATGATAAAAAAAAAAGAAATTGTTGCTACCTCCTAGTAGGTTAGACTGCATTTTTTATCAGTCTCAAGTTGAAAAATGTAGCTTCCCAAACTTCATTAATATCTACAGTAGAATTTGAAATGAACTGATGATCTCCTTCAGGGCCAGTCAACTRCTTATTCACTTCATACTATTTATGCTAACCTGCATTATAGTGGAGTCTTCAAAACTATATTGAATGCTTTTAAATTTGACAAATTCATTTATAAGACAGAAAGAATATATTTTTTGCCATGCTCTAATGATAGAGTTGCTGATTTGTTGATTCACTAACCAAAATAGCTCAACTGGAAACAATTTCTACTTGTGCGTGCATAAAGTTAACAAATAATAACTTACTTTCTGGCGTGGTTTCACTTCTGTATGAAGAACTTACATTGAAATACAACTTTTCAGAAGACAAAAGCATTTTAACAATATGACAAATTTAACAAAATGAATAACAAATTTATAATATAAAATAAGAAAATATGTGCAAACATACTTGTGGCTTGCTGAATAGCTTCCATTACAATTTTTATTGGTATTCCTGGTAGTTTTAGATCAACCTAATATGAGAAGAGTTAAGTGATAGAAATATGTGAAGAAAGGTTTCTTTTAWGGAAATTCTCCAAGTTTCACTTTAAGAAGATTTAATGTTAAGATACCTGCAAGGCAGTTATTCCTTTATTAGTTCCTGCCATTTTGAAATCCATATCACCATAGTAATCCTCAATTCCCTACGAGTAGAGAAATAAAATAAATTGAGAAGTCTTTATGCCAGTGTCACATCACACCAAAAGTTTCAGTAAGTCACAGGACAGTTTTGCAGACTTGTAATTACTTCCAGTACTCAAGTGTTTTGCTTTAGCTTTATTTCACTATACTAAGGTAACATGGTGCCTTTCCCCATATTCTAACAGCTTTTGGGTCCTAGTTTCTGAGCAAATATACAGTTAATTCTGTATCCTCAGTAGCTGTGCCAATGGAAGGAGTAGCAGCAGCAAGATAACATGCATTTTTCCCAGCAACTTTGCCAACTGCTTATTCTCTCTTCTACATACTGATTTTTTTGTTTGTTTTGGTAAAAAGTTTTACAAAACTGAACAGGGATGAACAGGAATAAAACAAGGAAAAGTTACCTTTGTTTGCTTTAAAATCAGRATACTCTCCTCAACTAGCTCACCACGGAACTGGACAAACATTTGAACYGGCATAGCTAAGAAGGCAAGATTGAGACAGGAATACGTAGAGATAGGACAAAGTCCATTTGTTCTGGCACTGCYTCCAAGCACCCTAACCCCCTTGTTGCCATATGAAGGCACACTGCCAGTTCTTCAGGGAATATTCAGAACTCTCTCTAGCTATGGTGAAGGCAAGCGTAAGCCTCGCTTACATCCCCCGAGCAGAAACAAAATGCAGCATAGGAAACTCAAATATTCAGGAGTAATGAGTCAAAATTAATTGGAAACAGTTTATAAAGGCTTAAAAGAGTGACTGAGTAATGATACAAAACTAAGACGCATGACTGGACATTCTTTAAAGATTATTTGGGAGGCAAAACAAAAAGACAAAACTATGCAGTATTTCCAAGAGTGTGTTCCAGAATTAACTGGTTAAATGAGGCTGCAAAAGAGGGGCACAGGGGCTATTTTATAGGATTAAGTAGCAATGCACAGTATCTTTGCTAGAAACACTCACCAGGATGTCTGTCAGCAAACGATAATCCTCAATATCACCATTTTTCTCTGGATTGCATTTGGTAACAAGACCTATTGCTACACCTGCCACTGCACTTGATATTGGAACTCCTAATAATGGTAATGAAAAAAAAAATTATAATCTGTGGTCACGATTTTATAAATTACAGATATATGTGCTCACAGGTTATGTAATAAATTTATGTAATATAACGTAATTTAAGTTTCATTTCATTTAAGTTTCGAATTTCTTACCTGCATCCATTAATGCCAAACTTCCACCACATGCAGATGCCATTGAAGAGGATCCTAAAGAATTAGAATATAGGGGAAGATGTATTAAATATTGACCAGAAGCACCTGAAACARAACTTGCTAGTGATATTTCTTTAGTGACAGTTTGAAAATTAACCTTGCTGCTAGCCAGAATATGCTACAGCATACAGTACAGCAATACTCATAACTGCAGTACAACAACTCCATTTCTCCATTCTGCCGGAAAGTTTCTGAAGTAGAAATGTTTTTAGTAAGAAAGAGATGAAATAGTCTGAATCTTTTATGACACTGATGCCAAAAAATCTCAAGTACCAYCATCAATTTTAAAAATTCCAGACAAGCAACAGGGAGCTACAAATGGGATTCCTTCCCTTTCTTCATCAATCTTCATATCTCACTACAGTAGCGCTAAAAAATAAATAAAATCAGGAGCTCAAATAACTCTGCTACACAGGGGAAATCCATGACCTAAGCACCAGGGGAATCCTTCCTTCCCGCTTATCCCTTCYCTGCAGGTTCTCCTACCTAGGTCAGGTAGGAGAGAAGATAAAGCTACTCTTCTCATGTAACCCAGGGATCCACAATTGATTACACGTGCATTGAGGCTTAATTCTAAACCAGCTGGCAAGAAGTCCAGGCACACTTAACTAATGGAATAAATACATGAAAATGACATTGTTCAAGGACCTTATCTTTTTCCCCATTTGAGCAGAAAGATCAAGTGGATAATGTAGTCCCAGTCTGGGAGATGGGAAGGGACACACACAGATACAGGGGCACTTATTTTTAAATCAGTGAGGATACCCGCTGCAGTCAACACTGAAGAACACATCTCAATTTACTCCTCTACTCTGTAGCACAAAGCTACTCCCAAACATGATTTTGTTAACTTCAAATTTATATCTCCTACTCACAATGTACTGTTACACGAATTAAAAGCTCCTCCATTATTTGTGACTCTACACAGCATCTTCATTTTAAGGACTTTGCACAATACAGTTACCCAGATAAGGAAGCTTGAAATGGAAAGCAATCAGCTTAAAATGTCTAGAACTCACTGTCACACTCAGACTACTTTAAGAGGCAGACTCTATCATTAGATTATAAGTAAGGAAATCGTAATACCATTTGACTCCAAGACTTCAGAAGTAACTCGTATTGTGAATGGGAAATTCTGGGGAATAACTGGTTTCAAAGCTCTCTCTGCGAGTGCACCTATTTTAAAAATACAAAAAAATTACAAATTTATCCACAAATAGAAACATACAAAATATTAAAACTGAAAGCATTACACCTAGTCTTAACTTACCATGCCCAAGTTCTCTTCTGTTCACACCTGTAACTTTGCCGGTCTCATTAGTTGCATACGGAGGAAACTACGAAGAAAAACATGGCATAGATAAAATTTACTATTTTTTTTTCCCCCTCCATTTTAAAGCACGTTTGACTTCTTATGCATCTCCAGGAAAAGAGAACAAAAAAATACCAAACAACTAAATGACTTCTGTCAATCACTTAGTTTACAAATTAAGATGCAGCTTAGGTAATATCTAGTAATTTTATTTTAGTTCACAGAAGAAAAGGGAGTAAAGCAGAAGAACAAGTCGACAGGCTAATGACAGATAAATTTGTCAAATAACATACTAGAAAACTTTGTTCCCGTCATTCAGAGATGTCTATTTTAGTTATTTATTATTGGTTTAGAGTGCTATATGAATATAGGAAAATAGTTTGTTAAAAATCARTACAGCAGGTATCTTTCCTTCAGCACTATTCAAATTTTAGCAATAAAGAGAAGCTAAATATTATTAAAGGCTGAATGAAATAGCATTTTAAAAATTGCTAAATGCCTTTTTTAGAATACCAGGGCTTTTGTTTAGAAGCTGCAGGATAAATACATATAGGAATAACAATTCATATGGTTTAACAAATCACCTAGACATCCTCAGAGGTGACCAGTTTCTCATTTAAAACAGACATGAAGCATCATGCAGAGAGCTGTGACTCACAGCAGAACTCTCACCTCATAATGCAGCATGAAGTTTTTGTCTTTTACTCCGCTATCAAACAAAAACAAGACTGTCAAAACCAAGCAACAATCAGTCATATATACCATGCATTTAGATTATATTGAACTATACACATAAACAGAGCAATGGCAGACAAAATTTGATAACTACCGATATTTCTACTCTTTTTTTTTTTTTTCTGTAGCATATGAATTTAAAACCATAGTCTACAAAGAAACAAATGTCACACTAACTGCAGCCACTTAAACAGCTTCTCCAGATGGAATCGGCCCTATCAGTGCTTTATGGTGATACTGGTACAGCAAAGAGAAGAGAGAAGGGCCGAAACAGCAGCAACCTGCTTATACAGAGAGGAACTGCCTAACTGCAGAACTGCTCTTGTTTAACAACAACCACCACCACCAGTGCTCAAAGAAGCTCTCCAAGAATGAAGTCTTGCACTACTCGACAATAAATACAAGAATCTGATCTATCTAGATTTGCTTTTATTTCTACATATAGGCACTTATCGCCCATCCATGAAGCATCCTACCGATCACTGACTTAATAGTTTTAAATTAGTGAATACTTTTATCTAGCAAAAACTAATTTCCAAGATCAATAAAAATAGAGAAGATGAACAGGCACCTTCATGCTGTAAGATTTAATGTGTAAAGCTGACACACTAAAATGTAAAAAGCTCCTAAACTGGTTAACATGAGACCACCAAAGACCATTTGAGAGAGCTGGAAATTCAGACAWACTGATTCCTCCAGGAAAAAAGAAATCCGCTCATTTTGATTTTTCTATTTGAATCAAAAGAACTAGAATCACTACTCACTCAAGAAAAAACTTCTGTCTATGGGCTACACAGATCCAACCTGTAAAGTGAAACTGCACTAACTTGTAAACTATAGATGAAATGGGCAGAATAGGTATCAAGCTGCAAAAGTGAATATAAACTCTGGAACAAAGAGAACCAACTCTCCCATGTGATTTCCTTTAAAGAGACTAGAYATATGTACACGGTTTATAGGTTTAAGTTCAGTGTCTTATCTCTCTCAAAACAACATCAAACATTATTTGGCWAATTCTCCAATTCCAAATCGGAGTCCATTGAATTACTGCCAGCTTAGCTAAAAGCAACTGCGAAGATGTTTTGGATAACAGGCCACTTACTTCGAAGCCTAATTTGATGCATCTTTCAGTACTCATGAACTCATATGCTGCTATTGAAGGAACTTTTATGAATTGTATTTAAATGCTCAGCCTCCATTTTCCTCCCCCACAAAACTACTGCCAGAACACCAGAAAAATACACATACCTCACAGCTGTTGAGATAAGATCTGATTTTACACTTGATTCTAATGAGTCAAATGTGACTGTACAGAGAACCTAGAATACAAAGATAGAGGGAAAAATAAATTGCTCTAACACTTTCACATTTCATAACTTCTCAAACTGGTAACGATGAGTCAAAAAGAATGATTTCAGCAAAAAGGATGATGTTACCATCTATCACACACCTGCAAACTTCTTTTTTTTAAAACATCACACAAACTGATTCATAACCCATAAAGATTAGGTACCTTTACAAGTGCACACACTGCAAAACAAAACAAAAAACCCACCCCAAAATGGATTTACTGCTTCCAGACCTGCTAGGAAGCTAGAACATCAGTAACACTTGCTTCATTAAGAAATTAAATTATCTCACTGAATGGCTGGACGCAGCCACAATTCTTTGTAAAAGGGCAAGACTGCTCTGAGACAGCACAGCTATTCTCAGTGGGAAAGGCAGGGAACAGGAGTTAGCTTAACTAACAAACAAAAGTGTTTGCAACTACTTAGGTACCCCATAATAAGTTAGGCCAATGGCTGGCAATCTTCTAGGAAAGAGAGGTAGAAAACCAGTAAGTCCAGATCTTGCGTACAATTTTAAAATACTCCATCTACCATCAGAAACACTGATGAGAAGAAGAAAATTCATTAATCTGATCTTATGTTTTATTTTTCTTCTGAGTCCCAGTCATATGTGCTTGAATGTATGAAGTTCCTCTTAAAAAGAGGATTTCTCCCCTCAACAATTTCTTATTGCCCTATATAGCAACAGCTCTAATTAAGTAGATGTTTGAAGAGTTAATCAAGTTACCTATATAACTTTACTAATTGTACAAGTGACTGTTTGCTAGTCTTTATTATTTGAACACCTAAGAAAAAGCAAATTTCACATTATTTCACAAGAAATAACAGTTTCTAGTAATTATGGTTAATACTTCTGATGTTTAAAAGCATTACCTGTGTTTGACCTCTCTGAAATAAGGCTGATCCATGAAGCATTTTAAACATGTTCACTTCACAGTTAATATCTCTGATGGACATCAAATCTCTTCCATCACACCTAAAGTTACAAGGGCAAATTAGGAGATCAAAGAAACTACAGTCTTGAGTAAAAAGTTGACAGATTTTTTTACTTTTTAGTTTGAGTACACTATACTTGCCTTCTATACTCATTAAGAATAAGATTTCTAAAAATATCCTTTGAAACTATATTAAAAGATTCCATGATTTCATATGGGTCAGCCTCTGGAAATTTTTCTAGGGGGAAAAAGAAAAGAAAAAAAAGATTTAAACATGGAAAGTGAACTTCATACAGCTTTTCCTAAAATAACATGATCAGAGAACAAACTGTAATCTTAAACAGTGTTAGCTTAAGCATTTCCCGAATATTAAGGAAGTAGAAAACARTACCTTTCATTTGCTCTTCTGTTTCGAGCCTTATTTTGTTAATTGCTTCATCTCTAGAAACCTAGAACAAGATTTGCAAGCAGCTAACTCAATAAATCCACTTTTGTACTAATTCTGCAAAACTCAAGAAATAGTTGCAATGAGTTATCATTTCAATAGGAAAGAACTTACAAAATACTTATTATTGCTATTACAGGTATTGCATGCAGAGCCTAGGAGTTAACTTTAGGTTAAAGAAATTAACTACAACTTCATTATCATATTAAATCATATTTTCATGAATTTTTTGAAGACAGTACTTAAGATGGTACTTACTTTATCATGGCTGGTATCTGTGAACACTGCATAGATCTTGTTAAAAGCAAGTCTTTTGGAAGAAGACACAGAATTTTTGAAAACAGCTTAAAAAACAATTATATAGTTAATTCCTTTTGTGAACTAAGTTTTTCTCCCCCCACTAGTTCTATTAAACTACCAGGCTCCCACATTTTTAGACATTACTAGCACCGTCCTCGCTGCCCGCTCCCCTGCTCTAACTAAATTAGAAAACATTTTCACTCACTTTAACACAATTTAAATCAAGAGCTATTTTTTTTCTGAACTTACTTTTTGGCGCATTCCACAATTTCTTCAGGAGCAACAAACAACTTCTGCACAGTTCTCTTGACAATACCTCGTTCCTTCACTAGCTGTTGAATTCCCTGAATTATTTGTTGGGTATGTTTCACCCCTACTTTGACAGCGTGACAGAAATCTTGTTGCAGTATATTCTCAGCTGTTGCTTCCAACATAACTATTAATAAAAAATTAAAAGTTAAATGAACTACTATTACATAGTACTTTGTGTACAGTAGCAATCTGTGTATGTGTGTATATATATATAAAAATAAATGCCATGGATTAAAAATATCTGTAGAGACACCTACTTCATTTTCAACAGATTTTCATAATTAACTTGCTTACCGACTTGACTATGTGGGGCTCCAGCAACAACTAAGTTTAAAGCACTAGATGACAATTCTTTTCGCGTTGGATTGATAATAGTTTCTCCATCAACGATTCCTACCCTTACTGCACCTACAAAGAAATTCCAGAAACTTATTTTCACAAAWATAMAAAAGTACCTTTAGRGTATCATTTTGCTTGCAAATTTTTACTTCTAAAAGCAATATAGAAAAATAAGGATTTGCTTTAAAATATTAGCATATTAGTTAAATACAAAAACAAATTTACAAGGTAAAATAATTTTTTTAGCTGAATAGTATTACATGCAATGTCTTTTTTTTCCCTTTGAGCACAGATTTTCTAGAAATGAGACAGGTAAAGAAAAAATTAATCAGTTTTTCTCTACTAGACAGTTGTTCTTCCCATAAAATATTCATAGCATCATAGCAACACAAAGCTCCTGGGTTCCTAGAGAAAAAAATTCTCTTATGAAGTCACTTTCTATGCAATGACCTTCAAGACTAAGTTTCTTCAAAAATCTAAAAACTTGAGCAGCTTTTAAGGAGAGGAGAAAACACAAACAAACAAAAAGGTAATCCTTATGTTCTTGATCTGTATATTAGATCATTAATTCTAGGCTGAAAAATGTTATACCAGTGCATTTAGTCAGAAAATATAATGCTTTCCAGTGCAATAATTCCAGATACAGCTTATAAGTGACTTTCAATATTTTAAACAAAAATTAGTGGCTCTTAGATTTATATGTTCTTTTAAAGAGAGGAAAGGGAGTTAAAAAAAAGTCAACTATGGTCTAATTCTTCCATATGTTTAAGCCATTCATCATTCCAAAGTACATACTTACCAACAGGACCATTCCATGGGATATCAGATAATGCAAGAGCAGCAGAAGCTACAATGAACATAAAAAAAAGATATTTAAAAATAGAATTATCTTAAAATATATATATAAAAAGTCAATAGTTTTCTTACCTCCATTAATTGCCAGGATATCAGGATCATTTACCCCATCTACTGCTAAAAGATTACAAAGGATCTGGCATAAGATAAAAGACAATAGTTTTAAGCCATAAATTTTTAACTATAAACATAACATTTATCATATTTATACAAGCTTACACTATAAAAGGAAAACCTCTTCATTTATTTAAACCACGAAGGTGATAAAAAGAAAACAAAAAAGCCCACTATTCAGACACACCAAACAAAGGTCTATTCCTGAAGATTTCTCTAGGTCTCATTAAATGCTTTCTGTGAAGAAAAAGTGAACAGAAGGATGCCCGATTATAGAGTACATATCGCCTACATACAATTCCTGTGAATATTTTGAGGAGTTTCCTAACTTTTAAGCATTTTACTTCCTCCATTGTACAGAAAACATTATAATTTTGTCTCCTGAACATCTACAACAAAATTTGAGAACTAGCACATAATAAAAAAAAAAATACTATGAGACAAGGAAATGACAAACTGAAATGCAGAATTTCAYTGTCACAGTGGTTTTCAAAATGTAAGCCCATTCTGGATGCTAATGAGAAAAAAAATGCTTTTCTTAAAATTGCACCTGTATTATTACTATTTTCACTGGACATACTCRTGTTTTCCACTCTAACAGGTGGCTGCTGCTAATGACAATGATCACAACTTACCTGTGTATCATAAAAGTAGCCTACTGGAAAGAGTGGTCTAATTGATCTATCTGCAAAAGAAATATTAAAAGTGTAAAAAGCTGTCCGATTTCAGTAGTCAGTTTCACATAATAAGTCCCATAAAATTACCCCCAAGAAATTGACAATAYGGTTTAAATAAAAAGTCCAAACAAACAAAAAGAGAAAAGGATGAGAATGAAGATGAAAATTTATCACGAAAGATGGTTCGCCATAAAACTTCATCAGCATTCAGAGAAAAACAGGTGTAGGACTGGATCTCCTTTTTTTTTTTTTTATCATGTGCTGTATAACAAAGAGAATAATCTTTTGTATTTTGTAAAAGAAAATATCTATTAAGCACTGCTATCTATGAAGTAGTACCTGAYCAGAAATGTCTTCAACAAAAACATGAGACGGTTTTCAAACTGAAAATTATACAACAAAAAAACAACAAAGGCAACTATGTTTGGCATGTTGCATTACTTCCATGATGTCTAGATCTTCTTTATTTTTTTTACATAGTTTTATACACATTAGTGTACTAATCAAACTCTGCTTAGTAGCCCAGATCTATAGTGTTCCTTGCCCTGCTTTCATTGCTGCCTTAAAATACTTTAAAGTTAAATTCAATTTTATACTTTAAAAGTCAACATTTATATAATTTCAATTATGAAACATTTTTAGTCATGATTGAGATGACTTTTCCAACAGGATTAAGAGGAAGAAAATGAACATGTTCCCACCAGTAAGACTATCTCTTTGTACTTCRGAATTTAGCTTCGTCTTTTTCACCTCTCCTGACAGATGAGCAACAACAGAGGTCAGTATTTCATCAGGATGAGATCTTAGAAACAATAACCTCAACAGAGGTAACTATAGGCACACAGTTCGAGCTCATTTACTATTCCGAGAATCACTTCTAATACACTTTAGCAAGAAAATGCAAGCATGCTTTCTTCTGACATTGCTGTAAAAATTATCAGCTCTGTAAACAACAGTTATAAATTACCACTTCTTATCAAACACTCAAGAGGATTATAAAATAAATKTTAACATCTTAAACCATTGTAGATAAAATGTCTTGCCCACCTATTACTCTGCTGGTAAGAATTTCTTTATCAGTGGAACCAAGCTCTCTTCTTAAATAGTTTGTAGGAATTCTTCCTGCTGCTGCAGCTTTCTGACGATAGTCAACCTTTCAAGCACAAAACAGGGGTTCCCAAAGAAAACAGATCACGGATTTCATAGTCACGGAATCATTYGGGTTGGAACGGACACCTGAGAAGATCTCTAGTCCAACCACCTGCTTACAGCAAGATGCATASTGAACTCGGACATTACTCAAAACTTTGTCAAGCTGGATCTTGAGAACCTCCAATGATGGAGCCTACATAAACTCCTCAAATAACATGTTCCAAAGCTTAACTATTCTCATTAGAAAAAAAAAAAAGCACATATTTTCCTTATACTCTGCTGGAACCTTTCAGCTCTACTGAACCACTACTTTCTGGTAGCAACCTCAAGACTACCATTTCCTTTCATGTTCCTGACCAGTTTGTTGCTCTTCATGAGTAGCAGCAGATCCCTGAGAACATTAGCCTTTCTTGCCCTACTCAGCACTTGGGTTAGAAGTAATCCCTGACACTTTGCAGAAATTTCCTTAATCGCTCGTGCCTCATTAAGCTGCCCTTCCAGCAAACGTCACAGAAGCTGAAGTCTCTGCTAAGACCTAACGCCCGTGATCTGGAGCATTCCTCAAGTCATTTAAACATGTTTCTGTTCACTCTTCCATCTCACAAACTTTAACTCCTCCTCTGATTCACACCCACAAGCTGCTGCTTCCAAAAGACTCCATACTTCTGATCTGCCCCTTCATGTAAAGGCAGTTGCCCCACACCTGCCTGTCTTTATTAAAGTGCCTGGATTAGCCCATTACAGAACTCCAGCCACACCAAATATTTCACTATGAATCAGTTATCCCAATGTCATCCTAGACCTGTATCCAGACACAGAACTTTCTGTCATATCCATGATGTTGTAAATAAGAAATGGCTTTCTGATATCTTTCCATAAATAAACCAGTATAGCTAGTAGCAATGTGCTTTCCTTGTTTGTAATTTATTTAAATCTAAATATAACTAATATTTGTCAATTACAAAATTCTGCTCCCATGTACTTACTTATTTACATTCATGGRCACAAATGGAAAYACAGCAAGTTCCATCTGAATGTAAGGGGTTTTTTTTACTGTGCCAGTGGCTGGACACTGGAACAGGTATCCAAAGAAGCTGCAGAGCTACTATCCTCAGAGATGCTCAAAATCTGAATGAACATAGCCCTGGGCAACCTGCTCTAGCTGAGCCTGATTTCAGTAGAAGRGTTGGACTAGATAGATCTCCAGAGGATCCTTTTAACCTTGGTTATTCTGTGAGGTCTATGAAAACAAGTTCTGCCATTAACACTTACCACTAATGGCATAAACTGAGATGGAGAAGGCTTTGTTTTACTGACCGCTGTGACCATCACTGCAGTGTCCCCCAACTGGATTGAGAGAAAAAAAAAAAAACCTAAAAATAAAGTTACTCACAAGCAAGTTACTCACAAGTTTGTTCACTGATGAACACAACATCAGTGTTCTGACACTGTTCTGACACTGAGATCTGACATCAGATCTCCAGGGCATTTTCTGCAGACAGGCAACCACATAAATCTATGCTTCACAAGACTTTTTTTTTYCTCCCCCCACACACAAAACAGACAGCAGTAGCTTCACTAAGAACTGCTTTGCATTTAAAGTCCTTTAATAAATAGACTCCGATGTCCCAATAATGTTAAGGATCAGAAATTTTAAGCACCTACTGTTTGAAAATCTTTTACCTGAACAACTGCAGATCCATCAGCAAACCTTGCAAGTTTTCCAGAGGACAATTCCATCTTCCTATTAGAAAGAAACTATCTGTTACCAGTGATGAATTTGGGCCCTTCTATCACTAAACCCTGCAGTCACGGGAGCCATCTCAAATAAAGGAAGGGCGACAGCATTAGATATGAACGTGTTTACTGGGTAGGGAAGGGGAACTCTGAGAAGAGGGAGAGAAGGAACGCACGTTTCACACGCCCCCCTCCCGCCCCGCCCTTAGGGGACCGCTGCAGAACGCGGACAGAGCAGCCCCGGGCCCCGCTGCC